CTGTTTTTGCGCATAGGCCAGTTGAATTTCGGTTGAAAGCAACGCAAGACAGTCGCTCGTTCCTTTGCCTCTCCGAAATTCAAATTGCGTATCTGAAAGTAAACCATTCGACTCGACCCATTTGTCTAGACGAAAAAGAATAATTTTCTCCAACAATTTGGGAGATTTTTAAGCAAGTTGAACTTGATTCTATCCATTCCTGGTGCTGAGTTGTTACATGAGAGGAGAGGAAGTGAACGTTACTACCCGCCGGACGATTACGAACGTTGGTTTGAACCGACACCGAATCCGGGCAAACTTTCCGCGCGAAGCTGAATATCCAACTGTCTGAGAAGGAGAAGGAGTTCTTCGTTAACCGGGTTGACGGGTTTCGCATTCTCCTGCCGACATTGGAAGTGAGTTGATTCCGCTTCCAAACGACGAGACTGTTGTTTTAAATCTGGCACATTTCATCAAAGTTACGCACTCGTCACACATCCAATACAAGTTCGGACTTGAGTGGATAATGTTCAGAAAAGCCTTGTGTTCGCGCACCTCATCCTCATGTGTATTATCCTATCACAGAAAGCCATGCAGGAAACGGACTCTTCATCGCCTTTTGCACATTTGTCACAAGCAGAACTCATAATTAATATGATAGCAACTGAACACGCGTGTGGAGATGCTCTAATACGCTCGTCACTCGAACGGTGGAGGTGGATTCAGCAGTGCGTCTGATCTTGATAACAATAACACTTCTTCTTCTTTTCCTTTATTTAACGTCGGTCTCTGTTCCGCAATCTAGTGCCAATCACCGACGGACATCGATTGCCATCCATTGACGGCAAGCGAATGTGCAGGAAGGCAGCTTCCACACCTGCGTAGGATATCGCACCCATTCACAACACACACATGGGCCGGGACCAACGGCTTTACTTCCTTTCCGAAGGAAGACGTGACCAGAGATTTTTATGCCTCAGAAAAATCCCACCGACCTCGGCAGGGATTGAACCCAGACCCATTGGGGTGTTAGAAAGCAGTCACGCTTACCACTACACCACCGGCGCCGGCTAACAATAACACAGAAGTCAACACAAGATTTCCGATACAAAATTGATTCAGCACTAATTTCACAACTCGAAATATACACTATAAACGATATTTCCACGACGAACTTCACTTCTCGCTGATTGCTGACGTGTTTATGCAACGATACACAACGGAGAAAATAATGTTTCGCTAACCCGTATGTTAAAAAACCGTTAATCAAACCAGCGCAAAAACACCATACAAACAATTATTTCAAAGCTTCTGATTGCTTATGGCAGCGAATCGCGCTTACTTTGGGCACCGGAGGACGCTCCGTTTGAATAAATTTCACCGCCGCTCGAACTAGGCTTTCTACAAGACGCTGATGAGACCTGGGCTACGATCTTGTAGCACCAACGAGCCCTTGGTGTTTTCGAACGGAAAGTATTGCGGATCATATACGGTGGAGTGCAGATGGAAGACGGAACGTGGAGGAGGCGAACCACCCATCATCCACACCGCAAAAATCGGCGACTACGGTGAGCTGGGTACGTCGTCCAGTGCAAGTCAGGAGTTTATGAACAACCAGCGAATCCAAACGCATGAAGCAATCAACGATACAGACAAAACGGTTGCTACGACTACCATGACAAAGTCGCTCTGTAACATAGCTCGACCCGAGTGGTAGAAGGATAGTGATATATTGCTTGCCTGCTTTGTTGCAATATACACGGATGAGGACCAAGCTTGATATGAATGGAGAAAAGACATAACAAAAAAAAAATTCCCATTAACACACGTGTATCATCTTCGGGTTTACTTCGTGAAGCAGCTTGCCAACAGTTTGCTCGTTTCCTTCTACCGCCCCGACTGAGTTGTGTCGCACGGGCTGCTTGTCATGGAAAAGAACGAAGAAGGTTATATCAGGGGCTGTCCATAAACTACGTAGACAGTTTAGGGAGGGGGGGGGGGTTGACAATTATCCACGGTCCATACAAATTTTAAATTTTTTGTATGGGCGATTGTTTACGCAGGGGGAGGGGGGGGGGGGTCAAGAATCCCAAAAAACTGTCTACGTAGTTTATGAACAGGCCCTCATTATTGCTTTCGACTTCTGACATAGCGTTATTATTCGGTTCGTTCATCGCTTGTCATTTTGTCATTTGGAGATATTTTTGATTCCTTGGGAACAACATTGGTTTGTGTCTATGGCGTTGTCAAAAACGAGGTGATATAAAACGAACAGAAAACTAACAAGCAAGCCGCGAAATTTGCGAATTAAATCGGTTCGCTACAAAATGGTCTTACAAGGTTTGCTTACAAAATTGAGTTGTTAGTCTTCATCTAAGAGGAAGAGGTGACAATTGGCTTCTTCCTCTTTTATTTATATCTCTATCTCTATCTTTATCTATCTCTATCTCTATCTTACGCACATGAAATCGTCCAATCAGGAGCTGGTTCACGTTTGACAGAAAAGTGGTTCATTTTCGCCCCCGTATTGTCACCTCTGCTCTTAGGTCTTCATTTGTTCAAAGTTCTATGAATTTTTATAGCGAAATCGTTTATTATCGGGGTTAACACCAGTTCCAACCCAGTGCAAAACCGAACTTTTTGTCAGTGTGAACCTCAACCAGAGCTAGGTTTTAAAAACAAACGAGCAAACTGACGTTTGTCAGAAAACAAGCAGACCCAATCTTGATACCCGATCCAGGTTGGAACTGAATAATAAACGAATTCGCTATTAGAAGTTCTGTGAACTTCTTGAAAATTCTATAATCGTTTTGCAAAGCCACATGTAAACAATGACTTTAAACGAATGACAACACATCTACGCAAACTACCCGAGCAAAGCTGAAGATCAAATTGAAATCAAAATTTGCTGTTATGATGTAACTTATTTTGAATACTCAAGTTGATCTCATTTTGGTTGACTTAACGGTTAACACAGCAAAAATGAGAGCAAAGTTTTACACTGTTGAAACAAACGGAAAACTAATCCTGCTTTCAATGAAATCAATTTGATTACTCATTTTGCATTCATAATGTTTAACTGAATACGGGCCTGGCATAAATGGTTAGCATCCATGCTTCTCACGCTGAAAGACTGAAAAGTTGAATAAGTCAAATCTCACCCCGGGCAAGTCAGGAATGACCTAAAATGTGTTAAACAAAACAAATAAACAATAATCATTAGTTCAACAACAGATGAACTTAAATTAAATTTTAAACAAGACGTTAAGAGCAGAACTTCAAGTTAAGTTGCTTTCATTTAAAAAGTTTTGACTGCATAATAAAATCACAATATGATATCAGACTTATGTCGCGACAATTGAACTGCAAAATTTTAATTTCGATTTGCTTTCATTTTGTTAACCGACTTTGCTCGGGTAACCTCTTACTTTTTTATATTTTTTTTTATTTGGCTGTTTTGGTTTTATATTTTGTTGCCATCAGTTTCATCATCAACGTATGAAGTATGTTTGAAGCTATATTGAAAACCTGAAATCCAAAATGATGATATGCATTAATAATAAATCTAGACGAACATGAGAAAATAATTACATGAAGTTTACTCTACCAGATGGTGTAGTTACCCGAGCAAAGTTGGTTAACAAAATGAAAGCAAATCGATATTAAAGTTTGCAGTTCCTATCATAATGAAAACTCATTTTTTGCAATTGTCGCGACAGAAGTCTGATGTCATATTGTGCTTTCATTATGCAGTCAAGGCTTTTTAAATCAAAGCAACTTAACTTGAAGTTCTGCTTTAAATTTCTTTTTTTAAATTTGATTTAAGTTCATCTGTCGTTGAACTAACGATTATTGTTTATTTGTTTTGTTTAACACATTTTAGGTCATTCGTGCTAGCCCGAGGTGACATTAGAGCTCAAATCTTTCAGCGTGAGAAGCATGAATGCTAACCATTTACGACAGGCCCGTATACAGTCAAACAATATGAATGAAAAATCAGTAATCAAATTGATTCCATTGAAAGCAGAATTAGTCTTCCGTTTGATTCAACAGTGTAAAATTTTGCTCTCATTTTTTGCTGTGTTAACCATTAAGTCAACCAAAATGAGATCAAATAGAGTATTCAAAATAAGTTACATCATAACAGCAAATTCGGATTTCAATTTGATCTCTAACTTTGCTCGGATCCTTTGTCAAATTGGATTCCTAGCAACAAAATTAAGGAATGACACCGATAATGACCATGTATCAGAACCCTAGTCTTAACCACTTCAAACTAGGGAACAACGAATAGAAGATTAGGAATCACATAGATGAAGACTAACTAACTCATGTTTTCCTTGTTTCAAGATCATCCTCGGTGGACAAAGCCGAGTCTTGTCACTATTAACAAGACATACAAAGTAAAAATGACTAAGATGTGCTCCTATGATTACTTAAAAAAATTGTTCCCCTAGTTTGAAGTTGTCAGGACTTGAAATCTGTGGTAGATCTTACATTTCGTAACGTACCACGAAAAGGTGATCTACCCACGTTACGGGATTTGTTGCATACGATTTTATGTCACTGATCGTAGCTCGTTCATATTAGGACTTAATTTGCCGAAATAGCAAACTAATTGCTTTTAATTAATCTAATAACTAATCGGTGAAGTTTCACATATTTGAGTAATTGAAGGTGAAAGTTGGAAGAATTTCGATACACATTTCAAATCGCTTTCGTAAATCATTTGAATATTAAGCAATGTTAGTTTACTCAACCTTTGCATAATCCGTAGTGGCCGTAGGTTTTAAAATGAGGCATACATCGTGGTTGTGAGCGGGTTTACCTTTTTATGTTTATTTATCTAATTATAGTGTTAACCAACTTTCTTTAATTTAACATTTTTCTGAGCATAGAGCAATTACATTTTTATCGATGAGCCCAATCTTTATTTATAGGCCAACATCAGTGCCATTTCCCCTATGACACTCTAACATTATCGTACTCTCGACGACTCCTTATACACAATCGCATCTCGTTTATGCCATGTCAATTGGTTGACCTTCACGTTTTCCTTTTTGACCTTTCGGCTTCTTAGGAGTCCTTTGCCGATCCTGATCTTCGTCTTGCTGTCTTGGTGTAGTACTAGTACTGGTGCTAGTACTTGTACTTGTGGAAGTCGACGACTGCGTCGAAGAGCTTATTGTAGATGGAGTCGAGCTGCTGCTGGTTGGTGTTGTAGAACAGGAACTAACGGTCGTCGTTGATGTGGTGGGCGTCGTTTCAGTTGTGGTGGTACTGGTCGATGTCGTACTTGAAGTCCTATTGCGATTGTTTCCACGGTTCCGTCCCGGACCTTTCCCTTTGTGGCCGCGGTTCTCGTGCGATTCTTTACTTTCTTCCGAAGAAGATCCATTACGCTTCCCTTTGTGGCCTTCTTTGCGCTTTCGCTCTCCTTTTTCTTCCGACGAGTTATGTCGGCGATGGTGATGATGCTTTCGCTTAGGTATCGGATCACCATCTACCGAACTGAGGTAACATACCGCGCACAGAACCACCAGGGTAATCAAAATTAATTTGTTCATGACGATCCAGAACGACGACAAATATGTACTGAGCGATGATCGCATACGGGTGAAGAATATTTATAGTCAAACTCTGTGCTCTGTTCTCTGTGTGTATTTAATTGATATCTTCGAGATGCTGTGCAGGTAAACAGAAATTAGCATGGGTAATCACACGATTTTTTTCGAGTGTCAAGTAATTTTTTGTTGCTGTTAAAATTGAAGGCGCAGCTCAGTTCATAATTTGTTCGATAGCACCCACTTCAGGACGTTCCGGTGATCGAATTTTCTTCTTCTTTTGGCTTTATTACAACCCTTCTGGGACTTTACGCCAGCTTTCACCTTATAGTGTTCTTTGGGTACTGCCACAGAGTTGTTAATTGAGAGCTTTTTAAGTCTGTACCATTTTTGCATTTGCAGTGCAATTGTGTGACAGGGAATGGCCGAGGAATTCGAGAAACCTTTCAACCCGAAAAATTCTTAGACTACACCGTGAATCGAACCCAGCTGCCTCCCCGCATGGTCTTGCTTTATAGCTGCGACTTTACCGACTGAGCTAAGAGAGGCCCCTTAAGGTGAAACTGACCTAGAGAGTAAATACAAATTTGTTCAAAATGTTGTTCTTTTATTATTTCGCACAAAACGACGAGAGTTTTTCCAATCTGAAGTGATGTCGCAGAGGAAACTATTTCAGAAATGTTTATTTACTCACTAAGTCACTTTCACCTTGGGTGACTGGGTCTAAAATCACGAATTAGAAAAATTTCTGTGTTGAAATGACGATTACATTGTATGATTTTATGGATTAGTTTACTATGGAGCTGTTCATATAAGATGCGATTTCAGCAGCCAAATTTTCATAAATGCACACACTGAAAAGTAACAGCTCTTTGGACTTTTATGAATAGTAAAAATAAAACAATGTCTACCGTATGCGTGATAATGTTTGCACCATTGAGCAATGTCAAAATTAAAAAAATTCTCAAAAAATTCGTTTTCGAGTATTTTTTATTTATTCAAAGGGGGGATGTTTCTCAGAGTCTTAAACTATGTTAATCATCGATCGAGTTTCCACTTGCTGCAATTACGGCCTACACACGCTTCCGGAATGCACGTCAGGTTCTAATAATGTAGTCTGGATCAATTTCTCTCCAGGTACGGGTCAATGTTTGTCTGAGGCTTGCTGTACCCGGGTGGCCTTTTCAAACAGGCCTTGGCCTTCATGACGCGCCATATTGAGTAATCCAGCGGATTAAGATCGGCGCTGGATGGCGGCCACATATCCTTCGCCCAGAACGGAAGATGTTCCTGCAACCACTTCTGAGTGCGGTTCGAGGTGTGGCACGGAGCCCCATCTTGTTGAAATACAACATTCGGCTTCGGACCGTACTGTTCTTTAATCCACGGAGGAACATACTTACTTAAAATCCATATGTAGACCTCCGTGTTGACCTTGTCGCCTTCTGGAAAGAACACCGGGTCAATTTTTTTGCCATCGGCAGCCACCAATCCAAACACCATAACGCTAGCAGGATGCTTGGTCAGATACACGTTCTTGTGCTCGTCAGCCACGTCTTTTACCGGAAGAGAACTAATATACCGGTCGGTTCTGGAATTTGATACGGGATCGACGATAAACATGCTCTCGTCGGTGAACAGGATTACCGGATTTTTTCGCTTAAGGAAGTTCAAGATTTTCTTGCATCGTTCGACTCGTAGCTCCCGAATGCGGTTGGTAATCATGTGAGTTTTTTTTCCGTGCCCTCGACTTTGCCCCGCAATCTTCCTTTACGATATTCCGTGCCGTAAAGTCACTGATCCCGTGTTCCTTTGCCATTTTCCTTATTGAACGCACTGGATTCATCCGAATCTTCCTTTTGATAGCAGCGATAACCCTCGGAACCCGAGCTGATCTCGGACGACCTGTGGCCACCTTCGCGGATAGTTGTCCTTTCTTTTCTCGGTCTAAAACCCTTTTGACGGTCCACCGGGACACTCACACGGCGATTGAAATGTCTTTTTCCACCGTGCGTGGGACAAATCACGAATACGCTGCCACTTCGTCATGGTGCAACTGTCAAACTAAGTAAATCATTTTCTTTTATACACAGCCTACTACGGTAAGAGCTATAGGTTACGTGCATGCAAAGAAAACCAAGGCATTGTATGCACAGGTGAAACGGGAACCATACGATGGTGCAAACATTATCACCCGCTCGTTCAAATTTACTCTAAAGTGAGTAAAATTCCACTCACTTTCGTTAAAAGTGGAACTACTCTAAAATGAGTAACCCCATGTTTACTCACTTTTGAGTAATGTATGAATTTGTCAAAATTTGAGTAGCACTTACTCAGTTTCGGTTTTCGCAATATTAGCACAACTGAGTAAAGGTTACTCAGTTTTGTAAATATTATATTTTGACAGGAAATAATTTGATCGAATCTTTTTTGAAGCATAATAAAAACGATTTATTCTATCACAACAGAATTATTCAAAACATTTAATTTTATAAACTCTAATCAACAAATTGATAATAATTCTGCTTATTAAGCGATTCCGAAGACCACTGCAGCTATCATCTCCAGGTGCTATTTTCATTCCGGGAAGTAACCAGCGATGTAACACATTAAACATCTCGAAATGGACTGAGCAGCTTTCTGGCACAACTTACGGATCAGTTTCTCAGCATTTTTTTTTCTAAAAAATAATTTCTTTTTGAATATATTGTTATTTCCCGATTTTCTCATAAAGCTTACTTGCAATACTCTCATAGTGAACTTTCCTTTGGATCGAGCTTGGGATTATGAAGTTTACAACCAAAAGTTGTTGCAGAAGTTCAGAAAAACGTAACCTGTGCAAATTTGGGCTGAACGGCGCCGGTGGTGTAGTGGTAAGCGTGAATACCTCTCACCCCAGCAGGCCTGGGTTCAATCCCAGTCGGCGCCGCCGGGATGTTCTGAGGCATAACATCTCTGATCACGCCTTCCTTCGGATGGGAAGTAAAGCCGTTGGTCCCCGGTTCATGAGTTGATGGGTCGATAGGTAGGGTCCAGGCGTGGGAGCTGCCTTCCTGGCACGTCGGTAGCATTGGTGCTCAGCACGGAAAACAAGATCGACGGAAAAAAACAAACCAAAGGAAAAAAAAAAAAAAAAATTTGGGCTGAAATAAAGTTTATCTAAGGAAAAACACCAACTGCTACTCACGCTAGTTACTAGTCCAGAAAAGTTTCACAGAACGCTGAAACTTTCACTCTTTGAACGCTTTGTGGGAATTTCTCTGGGAATTCGCTTTCAGCCCAGGACTTCAAAATTTTCGGACTTTTTTCACATTTGTTCTTACTCAAAACAGTAAAGATCCATATTTATTTAATTAGAGTAAATGTTACTCACTTTGTTAAATTTATGTTACTCAGTTTTTGACATTTAGCATACAAATACTAAACTGAGTCAAAGTTACTCACTTTAGAGTAAAATCAGACGAGCGTGATTGTCTAACTGTCAAATTTACGTCAATGCAACGCAAACGGATCTAATGTGGGTGCCCTAATAAACGTGTACCATATACTGACGATATCTTAGATGGTGCGACCATACCACATAAAATTGGGATGATATCCCGAATTGGTGGTTAGGCGCATCTTATGGTTATTGTTTATGCGGGTGGGCCTTAAGAATCATCGAGATGCACGGATACCCGAACAAAGTTGGAGATCAAATTAATCATTTTGTCAAGCTTCTGCATTCATTTTCCATCAGATGTCACTGCTATTGTTGGCGGTGACATCTATCGGAAACTACACATAATCTGTTTTCCGTTAATTGTTCACAGAGGACAGTGCAGTGCAAAACATGTCTGGTACCTCTATATGTGCATTTAGATTAACATCTGAAGTCCCTCCTTTTTTACACATTCTGCACACAAAATAGCTCAACCCTCACAGGAGCTCCCGCTTTGTACCGATTTGTACCTTCCTTAAAAGTTGTCCAAGCTCGCTATTCTAATATCTATATGCAATCTTCACACTGCCGTACTCTAACGGAACTATCAACTCTATGCTTTCATCTACTCCATCTATCGTATAAAAATTACCACTACAGTCTGTTATTTGAAATTAGCATCTTCAACTATGAAACTTAAACTTAACTCTTGTTCGAGAATCCATAACAGCCGATTCAAATGTGCAGCGATCCTATCGGTCAAAACCATAGAAACTAGATAAAAATAATTTGTCCGAAATAGATTAGACACGAACCAACTCATAAAATTTGTACGCGTGTTCGTGGCTAGGATAAACATTTTCCGCGAACACGGCGGCAGATGCCACTTTTGTGCTTTGATCAGAAATTTAATTGTAATTTGTATGGTCATTCATGTCGGTTTGTCGGTGGAAATATTGCCGGAGTCATTTCATCGGCAATCAGATCCATGTCTTGATTCGCATCTATTTGGCTGTTGACCAACTTTACGGTCAGCAGAAAAGCAAACGAAATCTGTTGAGTAATAAAACGCTACATACCTAAACATAAAACAATGTTGGAATAGCTTCCTTACCATCGATATAACAGTAAAAAATCTCATTTTAATGCTTATCCAGAACTTCAAGGGGAATTTTAAGAGATTTCCAAGAAAATTCTGAGTAAGATTTCAGTTCTATTCTGAAGTGAATGCCACGCTGAAGGACTTGCAAGTTTACCTGGGGTATTTTATACAGAATTATGCAGAGAAAATTAAACAGTTTCTTATGCGAATTATTAAGAGTTTAAAGAGAATTGTAGGATCAATATATCTGTGTAGAAAGCTGACTATGCATTTGCAGATAAATAGATAGGGTAGAGAACTGCTTCGGCCTAAGCGAACGTTTTGGGCCTATCAAGCAGAAAATATCAAATAAATCTCGCGCAACACGAGAAAAGGGCCAATCATTGTTGATCGATTCTCTTTATTGATTTTCTCTTTCGCAAATAATCCGACTGCAAATGTATTTCCCATTCAGTATGTTGTTTCAGGCGCAAGCAAACA